AAAATCCCAAAAAGTAAACAAAATCTTTCTCCAAAATCATCACCAAAGCCAACTAGAAACCATGTGTATAAACATTTCCTAGTTAGACCTAAAGTTGGATCTCATGTTTCTCCAAAGATAGCTTCAACCACTTATAAACAAAAGGTGAATCCCAACGTTACACCCAAATCAACAAGAAAGTTCTCTCCTAACATACATTTGCCTCCCAAATCTAGAGTTACAAAACCAAATATTCTTCGCAATCCAACAGGAAAGATTATCACTAAGACACGCTTGGCTCCAAAGGCAGCACCAAAGTTTACTCATAAACGTACACTTAAACATGTCGCTCATTAGAAGACAGGGGAAGAGGAATATGCTGGTCTCTCTATATACTTAGATTATTCCCTGAATGTTGCAATGAATTTGGCTTTACAAGATAAATAAAGTTCCTATTTGGCAAGTGTGATTCCCTTTAGTTTCTTCTTTAGATGCAATTGATATTTATTCTGGAAAAAAAAGCTTCCATATTTTGGCCAAAATAATGGATTTCTTTTAGCTTATATACCACTAGGCGATATACCTAATGGTTAACATCAAAATCATCTCTTACAATATGAAAGAAGTATGAAACTTGCAACAGCAACATACCCAATGTAGTCCCACACAATGGTGTTTGGAAAGGGTAGAGCATAAGCCTATTTTTGATAGACCCCGACTCAAGACAAAAACAACCTAGAAAAAGACATAATGGAAGTACGAGAGAATGAACTTGCAAGAATCAGTAAAAACAAGTAGATCTTAAATTGATAGCACAAAGAGGTGTAGCCTAACATAGAAAAATGATCAAATCAAAATAACCATAGGGGTCTCCACTCCATTCATCATGTTATGGAGCGATTTAAGTAGTAGCTAGCTCTCTTCCTAAAATATTAAGACGAAAACAAATAAACTCTATCAGTTGGAAGGGTCACTCCAAGAGTATATTTTCATGCTGGATTTTAGTAACACCAGTGAGTTATGGCCTTGGAAAAAAAATATGGTACAAAATGGAGGAAGTTAAGACAAAAGAAATACTCTAAATTATCTGAGCCTTCAAATAAATATTTGAGACCTTAATTCCTTAAAGAAGTTATGACAGTCTTGAGCAAGTAAAAACTTGTAATATATCTAGTTGCTCAAGAAAATCACCAATTTAGGGAAGTACAACAAGAAAAAAACAGGGTGAAAGTTACTCCCAATTGATGCATTCCGTTAACTTTACCCAAAGAAGTTCATGCACTGTTTACCCCAAACAAGTTCGACAAATTATCTTTTATGCACTTCCAAAATAAATATGCCTGACTGATAGATCAACATTTTGTTCCTTCATAGTTCGTTCTATTCAGATGCTGCTGAATGAAATGAATAAAAGAAATGCAGCTTTGGAGACTGAGCAATGCAAGTAACTTTGAGATGTTAAAATGGACAACATATAGTTAAAGAAGCAGAGGTGTTGTCTACTAGAATTCAAAAGCATCCACGAAAACAGTAAAAGCTAACAGGGTTTAAACTGAATTTATCAGAAACACAGAAGCAAAACATCATATCCCGGAGGGAGTAAGACAAAAGAAATACTCTAAACTATCTGAGTCTTCCGATAAGCATTTGAGACTTGAAAATTGTCCCCCATGACAGTCTTGAGCGAGTAAAAGCTTGGAATGTATCTAGTCGCTTCAGTGCCACTACCATACACATTGACCACCTTCTTAAGCATCTCCTCTTTTGGGTTGTAAGAAACTAGGTGTGTGCCACGTTCGCTTTGCATCAAGATTTCCCCATCTTTCCAAATTATGATTGGTATTAATATGTGACGACCAGCGATACCAGGCAGAGTAACTGAAATGCGATCTCTAGTCCAAGATCCAGCTATCCCATACTATTTCATCCACCATATATCCATATAATGAAAAGATGTACTAATAAACAAACATAGACAATTTCCCAACTCCGCTAGCATCAAGTGCAAGGATGGAGATTTTAAACCAGATGGAGCTGGCAGAGACTTCACTTCTTCTGTCGCGATATTAAAGGAGTAAATACTGACCCTTTTTGGAAGATTTTCACCATCCAGCCAATGAATAGTACCATTGACATTAGCATCGCTAAGCGTTCCCTGTACAGGTTTTGGAGCTTTGCCCACATTCCTCCGATTTCTCTCATCAACTCCAAGAGTATAAACCTCCAATTCAGATACGTCTGGACGACCCCGAAACTTCCTATTTACTAATCTCAATACTTTATACTGTCCAGAGGCCTCACTATAGCAAAATCCATAATGAATATGACGAATTCTTTTCTCCCATTCAGGCAATTTAACCTTGAAATACTCACCCAAAAGAGGATTGCTAATGCAAACCGAATGATTTACCACATGCGTTTCACCATTCAACGAACAAATGAATCCATTACACGAACCAATTAATGTCAGATTTGCTTTATCCTGAGAAACCAAATCAACAGGATGAGGAAGGTGTAAATTACGGTCCAAGATAATACGTCTGTTTATTCATTGAGAAGTACAGGGCTGGCTCAATGCCTTTAAAAATGTGGCATATGCCTTAGGCCCCAAAAATCGAAGGGCCTAATTTTTTAGTAATAATAAAATTATTATAAATATTTTTAAACAAAAAAATATATAATATATTTTTTAATTTATTTGTCTTTTTTATGTTTGTTTCGAAACATTAAAGAATGTTTCTTTTTTATGAATCAATTTTTAAATTTAACTTTCACGTGATATGTTTAAGACCACAAGATTAAAAATTATTTTGGTATATATAAATATATATCTTTAGTTTAAGATCATAAAAAATAAAACTTTTTTCATTAAAAAGAAAGAAATAACTTGAATCTCAAATCTAAAAAAATAATTAAAATTTAGGCCTCCAATTTATTTTTGGCTTTAGGCCACTAATTAGCTTGAGCCGCCACTGGAGAAGTATAGTCAAAATCTGCTCCAAGTTCAAGCAGATAACGGACAGAATAATTTTTTGAAAGGAAAATGCAAGGAAATTTACGCGGTCTGGTGTCATACATGTGAAAACAATGTAAAGGCAACTTGATGTGAGCTCAATAATATCTTCTCATCCTCTCTTCTTCTCTTCTTCTCAACTCCTTCTTCAATTACTTCAGATCTAAATCTCCATTAATGGAGTTATCATGGTATCAGAGCAGGGTCCGTCTCACCCGATGTTGGGACCCCCAAAATCAAAATTGCCCATGCATCAGATGCTAAGCACTGGGCGTGAGGTGGGGTGTTAAAGAATGACAAAAGTCCTACATCGGTGGTTAATGAGATGGGTGGACTCCTTATAAGGCTTGGGCAATCCTCCTCCCTTTGAACTAGCTTTTGAGGTGTGAGTTAGGCCCAAAACCTAAGACAAATAAATGATCAGAAGTTATGAGCTTATACCAACGTTTGCAAACAAACTTACATCGGAAAATCATCTTGATTGGCAATTTTGTGAGTATTTCCACCATAATCGCAGCCGGCAAATCCATAATTGTAACTTAATTGATTCTTCTTTGTCTGCAATCACAATTTAAACTTAGCCTTGAGTCTGAGACACTAATAGGAACATCGAAAAGCTCCGGTTCCATTTTTTTTCTCTGATTGAACGAATCCCCAATTTCTAGGACTTTGGCGTGAAAACAAGGAAATGGTGGATTCCAACTTTGAAATTCGTTTTTCTAACTAAGTCTACTTCTTATTTTATAGAGTTAGTTAGTCTGTTAGCCAATTGGCATGTAATGGTAGTTAGTAGATGAGTTATATATAAACTCGAGTCGAGTCTGTTACCTGAGTTATCCTTATAGACGATATTCTTAGTACATATGTCTCATTTCGACTATTTATTTGGTGTGTGATATGTCATAACAAGAACTCTTGTTGTAGATATTAATAGAATGTGATATACAATTGTCGAGTTTTTTGCTAAAATAAGTATGAGCTAAACTTAAAGTACATCCTTGTGTTATGTAAGTGAATAAAAAAAATCCTTAAACTATCCAAAAAGTTGCAAGGTTCATCCTTCTGTATATTTTTTAAAACACTCACGCCACCAACAAAAAATTAAATGTGTCAAGTCGAATGAATATATGTACACATGGTTAAGCTAGTCAAGTGATTTTTTATTTTTTTTTAGAAATTGAGGATTTAAATCATATCCAGACAAAATATATTCAAATTCTAAATATTCTTGTAAAAATATGGCCAAATACTACTCCAACTTCAAAATTTTCAAATACAATAATTATTTATTTTATTTTCATAACCAAACGCCCACGTAATTTCACTAAATTTCCAATATTTATGTACATTGAATAAAATGCGAATTGCATTGTATATATAGTACATGCGCCCTAAATATTTTATCAAAGAAAATCTCTAAATAGTTGGACGTAATACTTTTAAAATAATTTTTTTACATAATATTTCTAACCATCGGAACCTACTGTATAAATATTTCAAAACTTATGTGTTGTTGAAAGTCAATTTACTTGATGATGCGAAAAGCATATAAACCAACAACACGCAAAATTTAAATTCCGAGAATGAAAGATTCATTTCCTATCCATATCCTTATTCTTTTTAGGTAACTTTGATCTTCTCGTCGTGGAATGACATGACCAAATTAAATTTTTTTTATTGGTTCAATCAGTTTCTTAACAAAAATAGATTGAAGGATGATTCTTGTTATTTTTTGTATAGTATAAGGATGTTTTTTGCTCACTTAGATAATATAAGGATGTACATTAATTAGATTTGAGTCATAGTTGAGGGAGAAGACAAATTATTTCACCTTTGTAGTAATTTTTTTGGTACTCCAAGCTCTCATGGAATGTCTACTCTAAATGCAAAAAGTAGTAACGTAATTGTCAGCTGACGTCAAGATAAGGGTCATATTCACTGTGTTAGAAATATGAATGCTTAGAATATGAATGCTGTAAAAAATACCTGTATTGTGCTACTAGTTAATTACATCAAAATCATCATGACCTGTCTAAGAAACAAGCAGCAAAACTACTAGAAATCCTTGTAGAACAGCCAGTATAATATACACTAAGTTCTTGTGCAACAACATAACTTTACGACCATCAGCAATCATGAGAGGGAAATGGCACTTGTCGTCAGATGGATCGTTATGAGTTACCATAGCCAAGCCTTGAAAATCACAGTCCAAACTGTTCTGGTTATTGAATTGATAATACATATTGAAAGCATACGATGTATTTCCTCGTTCACTCAGATGATTACAAGAAGAACCATAGCCCAATGCAGTACAATCAGAACGACTACACGCGTAGTCAACAATCTTTGCCAAGTAAATTTGTGCATCTTTTGGTAAGTGTGACTTTAGTACACACCACTTTTTATGCATATAAGTTACGCCTTCTACTGCAGCGAGTGGCTTTTCAGATAAATCTAGCTCATATTTGGGCTGACCATCAAACTCGAATATTCCCCAATGCCTCTCAAAGTTACCAGGAGCAATGCTTTTAGTATTCTCATCAATCAGGCTGAACAGGTAAACGTCGATTTTCCCCTTCCTTGCAGGGGTTCCTTCTCCACTTAAAGCATGTTGAACCAACCCTTGGTTAAATCTCTTTGCATTTTCAATATTCGCGTGTTTGTTTCCATCCGTAGGCCATCCTACTTCTCCGACTATGATTTTCATGTTGGGAAAGCCAGCTTTCTTCAAAGACCAAGCAAGAGTATCGAAATTGGCATCAAACACGTTAGTATAAAGATTATCGCCATCTTTCATAGGCTTGTTTGATCCATTAAAGAAGGCATACTCAAATGGGAAGTAATTGTTTGCATAGAGACTGAGGAAAGGGTAAATGTTAACCACAAACGGTGCATCATTTGAGTCGAGATATTGAACAATTTGAATGGCTAAATCGCGTATTTCTGGCCTGAAATCGCCTGCTGAAGGGACAGGATTCGAGTCAGGGGAGTAGTAAATGTCCGCGTTTAAAGGAACAACTGCTTTCACCTCTGGCCCTAATCCAGCATGATTGATGGCTTCTTGAACATTTCGCAGAGCTGGAAAAGTGGAATGTAGATAAGTTCCATTGTATGTTTGAAGAAAAGGCTCATTTCCTACTGCTACATACCTGCATTATTAAGAATAATTCGTGAGGAATCTCAGTACCATTATCTTTAAGATAAATGTTTGATTTCGGTTTTTGGTTTGGATCAATTTTTAACCAAATCATGAACACCTAGTATGTGTGTGGAAAGGGAGGGGACGCATAGGCGTATCTAGAATTTAAAAAGATGGAAGCACCACTACCTTTAAGATAGATGTTTAATTTGATTATATAATTTTTTACGGTTACAAAAAGTAAATCATCATTCATATTACTATTTCACTCGACATAAAGTTTTTTTCAGAACAACCGGCCGTGCACCATAAGGCGTCAATATTCATGAGCTAACACACACGAAAAAACAAAAAAAAAATCGCCTAATTCATATAAATTGGCCCCTAAATGTAAAAATATGTCACAAAAAAATTGTGAAACTATACGTAGTGTTCCCTTAACTCATTACAGTTGTCATAATAAAGTTTTTTCAGAACAACCAGTCAAGCACCATTTTACCCTTAATATTAATTGTTCTTTAAGTAAACAATATTAGTAACATATTTTTGTCCTTTTAAGTTCACGTGATGAAAACAACTAAGAAGAGGACAAGTCTTGAGAGGGGACCATGGGTTCACGTGAACCAGGAGTTTTAAAGAAAGTAAAAAATTGACTTATGTCCATGCAAGAAGTGAAACATGTTGGACTTAAATTAACCTGATTTTGACTCCATGAGTGTAAGCATAAGTAGAAACATTGGCATCAATCCAAGAAGCTGCCATTTCAGGGTTAGTGCTCATATCTTGTAACATATAATTAGGAATTGCAAGCATCACTTCAATATCACTACCTATTAAAGCACTCAAAATCTTGTCATCTGCTTCAAATAATTTTACTTTGTCAAATCCATTTTCTTTAAGCATCTTCACTACACTCTCTGCTGCCAACTGATGAGATGCCATAGTACCCCAGTTCACTCCAACACTCAAACATCTCCGCGCCATTGTAATGAACACTAAGGCTACAATTCCAAGAATCAAAATATGCCTACAACTTACACCACTCATCATCATCATCATCATTTACTTCTGAGGAATATACGCATACAGACGTTGAAGATGAAGATGAAGAAACAAGAGCAGATAGAAGCAAGAAAAGAGAATGACAAGATGTCATGAGAGAAAATCCATATCTAAATTAGTAGCCTGGGGAAAAAGCCATCTTGCACTTTCAAAAGTTATAAGATTGAAATATATATATCTTTTTCTTTTAATAGTAGTATTTTATATTACTTTTTTCCTTTTTTGGAGGGACAATGGAGGGGAAAGAGAAGAATTTGATAAGAATCTAAACTTTATATCAATGAAGATTATATCACTCAAAACTTTAGTTTGTTAGTCTGTGCTTATGTGTTTTGTTTAGTTTTATATGGCTCTGTATAATGTATTATTTCCTTAACAATCAAAGTGGAATTTAGCATACTTGAGTCATAAGCAAGTGTTAACAATAGGGGTGGGCGTTCGGTTCTTCGGTTCGGTTTAATCAAATTTCGGTTCAGTTCTTCGGTATTCGGTTTTAGAAAAGTGTACACCATATTTTAAACCAAACTAGATCGGTTCGGTTCGGTTTAGTTCGGTGTTTTAAAATCGGTTTTTCGGTGTCAACAAAAATAAAGAGAGAATATGATAAAGTAACAATTGTTATTCACATCATACTTCAAACTTCAAAGTAACAACTAACCGTCTAACAATAAAAGGTAAGAACATCAATTTGTTCTCACTTCAAAGTAACAACATAAAATGATAAAAAAAGTAGAAAGTAGAAACACCAAGTTGTTGCTCAAACTTGAATTAAATTGAGTTTTGTTTAGTTTAGACTTTAGGTCTTTAGGGTTTACTATTTTGTTATTAAGATTTTTGCTATTTAAGTTTAGGATCTAAATATAAAAATTGAAATGGGACAAGTAAAGTTAAAAATTAAGTAATATAATAAATACTTTTAAATTTATTTAATAAAACTTTGGTTCTTCGATGCACCGTAGTTTCGGGACCCTTACACCAAACTCCAAACCGAAGAACCGAAGTTCCGAAAAAAAAAAACCGACACCGAACTGAAACACCGAAGAACCGATTTTTTTCGGTTCAGTTCAGTTTTTCGATTTTTTGGTATTTATGCCCACCCTAGTTAACAATAAGGACTAGCAATAAAAGTCAAGACTTTTATTAATAAATAAAAATAATAACTATGTTATCACTTCCATTTTATTTTTTTCTGAAGCCAACTTTTGCAGACCTCAACTAATTTCATTCCACGAGATACATGTCACCTCCCACCAGCAACAATTATCAAATAACTCTATCCACCAAGGCTAGAACAGACCAGAAGAATCAATCACCTAGTATTTTTTAACATAAAATGATGACAAATGTGTGACTTAGTGGGGCAAAATAAAATAAAGTTAGAGAAAAGATACGACCCCAGAAAAGTTGAAGAGGTAATTGACTCTTTTCTGTAAGGATATTGAAAAGAATCATCGGCAGTGCCCTACTTTCCAACCAAAATCTACGTGTTTCAAGGCTTATGCAACCTTTCTCATTGTTGTTTACACTGCTTTTTCATCAAAAGTTACAAGCTTTTTGTAGCTTTTGATTTTCAGAAAAAGTTGGCTCAAAACTCTGGTGCAATTCCTATTCAAACAGATATACATCTTGCAAAAGATACAATTCATCCGTCAACATCCACAAGTACTGACTGTGTTGTCCATAAACGATAACTATCATGGAGGTTGGTGACTTCCCTTGCACATATAGAGTAGAGTACCTATAACGTCATAAGTTGTGGGAGTGAGGGGCTGAGTTCACACAGGCTCCTATTGCAACAAGTATAAAAGATGGATTTCATAGGATATCACTTTAAAAAGTAGTATTTGTTAAATTAAAGGTTAAGCATTTTACAAAAAAAATAATCCAGTTTACAGGAATCCAGCTACGAAGATTCATTTAAGTTTCATGATTCTCGCCCTGAAGAGTATCATTGTTTACCCTAATCATCAGAGCATGTTTCTTCCGGTAATCTGAAGCTTAAACAAAACATAGCCTGCATAAGATAAGAAAAAGAACAGCTCAGGGCAATAAACGTACAAGAATATACCGGCAAAGTCAATAAAATGAATGCTGACGCTCCAAAAAAGTTGAATCCTCTATTGAACGTGTACCTTATTTGGAGCAACATCTCTAACCCTGTGAAATACAGGGTTTTGGACTTTGGCTCCCAGGGCAGACTCGGCCACCTGCAAGTCAACAAATTGAGAAGAACATACAACAGAATGTAGACTAGCCAAAATGAGTACATTGGGAAGGTAGATTTAGTAACACTAGTAGGACCAGATGGCCTAGTAAAGTAATAACTGAGAGCATTAATAATCAACTTGACCTGTGATATACTATGTCCAGATATTGAATACTATGCAAGCTACAGCATGCTTCACGGATTTAGCTAATCTAGTTATTCAAGGACATGGTAAACATTAAAACCAAGTGCATAAATCATCAACAACCACGTATTATGTTAACTACACCTGTAATTTACTAACCCATTGACATGCCCCAGGAACTTGGCTATTTCGGTTTTGCTACTAAAATTGCAAATCATTGTTTATGTTGTGCACTTGTTCCATTATATACTGAGTAAATTTCAAATAATCCTGTGGTCAGCAATTGAAAATGTAAGAGAATGGCTTTCATCCGCTAAGGTTTTGGTTTAATGACGATGATGGTCACTTGACTTCATTTATTTTTCTGACTGAAAATTAAGAGAGAGAGAGACACGCCACCAATTCTGAATTTCAGATGCTGCTTTCAAGCATAAGAAATAACCCAGTCAAACTGTCAAACTGATATGGAAAGTCGAAATAGAACAAATTAGCTGTTGAACTAGGTATTACCGAGATAATGTAGTCTTCTGTTTCACTTGCCCGTATGAAGCAATAGCAGTGAATCCAGGGTAGAGATCCCTTCCAGTATCTCCTTCTAATAAGGCCTCTAAAGGCATCTAGGGAAAGAAAAGAAACTATCAATTGCCTTAGTATTATAATACGTTAGCAAATATCAGTGCCTGACGAAAAGACAAGAAGTTCTGTTTAACAGGCTTTAAAAGAATCACGAACTCCAGAAAACATGAGGTACTAAACGAGAAAATTCACCCATAAAACACAGCCATAACCTGATATAGGGTTTAGAGTAATATCAGTTCTATTTTTATAAGAGTATGTAACTTAGTTGAAATAGAGCATGCTAAGTACAACAAATGGATTTGACTGACAGTTTGCATCACAAACTATATTACCTTCATTAACTTGGTAAATGCATCACAGCATGAACTGATGAACAGCAAATGTATATAGTTTGAAATACTTTTTACTTCCCCTTTTAGTTACAGAGATCAAGATTGGTTCTGACATTTGAGCACCAGTTCTCTGACCTATCTCCAAAAAGTGAACATTTTGCAAGCCTTTGACCTAAAGTTGGTGCTGTTAGAAGCCGTGGGCAAACTTCTACATTTCACTCTTATGGCAGTTTGCAAAATTGGTTGGATTCTAATATTAAGACACAAGGTCAAAATATTACCACTTATGCTTAAAACCCTGTCAGAATTGTATTGGATTCTTGCACTATGATCTACATATAGTATTAGAAAGAGACGTCCAATAAACTTGGATAAAGCCAGCTGACAAGCATATAATGTTGACCTCAGTTCAAAGATATGATGTTGAGAGGGAGATATGGTCATAGTAGATTTACCAAGAAACTCCAGAGCAGAAGCTGGTAGGTTCATGATCACATGGTCCACATGCTCCGAGGGCTTTGTGTTCAATGACTCAGAACCCTTCAATCTCTTATTTGGACCTCTTTTTCTTCTACCAGCAACACAAACACCATCATTGACTGCAGATCTCCCTTCTCCCTCTAATTCACCAAATGAACAAATTCAGTTACTTGTGTTCCAAGTGTCCCAAAAGCATGATATTCACAAAAACATTGAATTCAGCATTTGGACGCAAATAGACAGAACTATTTCTAAATTATATTCATCACCAATTACAACTAAGCACACTAGAGCATGTATCATTTCTTAAACATCCCCACCTTCTTGAGAACTCTCTGCATGTCTTTTCACAGAAGTCACATTCATATCTTCTATCACAGATGAGTCTCCGAGTCCAGCAGTGTTGCATGACGTTCCGTCAGGTACTTCTTTGACCTCATCTGCAAGGGTGGTTCAGATTAATTGATGAGATGCTTTCTGGGTACGATAACCAGTATAAAACTGAATAGTTCACATACAGTCTTCAGATAGTTTCTCCCTATGTGCTTCACCACTGAATTTGTCAGAGCAATCAATCTCAGCTTCTGCATTGCTTCCATTGCAGGGTACAGCAATGAGTTGAGAAATAAATTTCCTTGCATCCATATTGTATGGGAAAACTAGATGATCAACCTTGCTGATTTCAGCATTAGTTTTGAGATAACGAATGCTATCTGGATTCAAATCGTTTGCATAAACCGCACATCCTTTCTGTGCAGCGGGAATAGCAAAAGGACCAATGCCAGCAAACATATCACATACGGTCTCCCCTGCCTGGAACTTTGAGACCAGCCTTATATGCTCATGTTCCAGTCTAGAATTCCAATACACCAAGCTATAATCAAGCTTGAAAGTTGCTCCATATTGCTTCACTTCTGTGACCATATCATCTTTCCCAGCCAGTATCTCAAATTTTGGCACACGAAATTCATTGGTAATGGTTCCAACTTTATTTACAACTGTCTGGATCCTGGGATAGTTTTTCTGCACGGATCAGGAATGAATACCATATTCAAATTAAGAAGACTGGTGACTTGGGAAAGGAAGAAACAGGGTAGCATCCTCTCACTAAAAGTAAGTGAAAAATTGATAGAAATATCATCACATGGATGCCTGGACATAAAGTGAAGGAGATGGAAGGAGGCAGTCTAGCTCTAATGCAAATGAGGTAAAATCAAGTTTCTGGCACCAAAAATAATGTTAAGGAAAAGCAATTTCATTCAGAAAGAAAGAACCCTAGTTTAGGAAAAGAAAATTGAAATATCTCATTCTCATGGATTAGTCCAAAAATACTTGAGGTGAAGAAGTTAAATGTAATGCTAAACAACTTACAAATGAAAACATTTACATTGCACTATAGCAGAGATTCATTTATAAGATGAATTTTGAAAGAAAACCAACTGTACTTTTGACTTCTTCTCTTTTTAATGGAAATAGCTAAATGGAAGATGCACAGGTTGAGGCCATAAATTAGAAGGCATACATCATAAATAACTTTGGCAATCACATTCTTGTAAGGAAGAAGATCATCAGTTATATTCAAATGAGCAATGTGACCTGCACATATACCAAGTCAATTCGTTAGGGAACTCGGTTGGAAGGTCAGAGTGTTGAAAATTCTGACTTTGAATTAAAGAAGCATAGAAATTTAGTCAAGGAAAAGAGACACACAACACAAGATTCTCTATAACCTATTCAGCGCATAGAAAAGATAAAAGAGAGAAAAATGTTGGATTAAAATACTTAACTATTGTCTCAAATGATGATGGTACTTCAAGGCCAGGGGGCAGGATCTGCTTTAATATATGATCTGCAATGAAGTTCCAGTTATAAAGTAATTGATGGAATGTAAGCCAACTAGTAATATCAATCTCAATTATTGGATTTGAGAAGTATTAAAATACACACATAGTATACGTATGAACTCAAGGAGCACTGCTTTTAATAATATTGCACGGCTGAAGTGTTATACGCTATACAGGAAGGCAAAGCCTGCGAAGATTAGCTTCTAAGATATTTGAGATACATACAACAACAAACAAAATAACTATCTGCTTTTGGCTAGAAACATATGTTGAAAGCAACATTTTGCCTCCTATTTTGAATGCTTTACTTGTGTTTATGTTTGAACCTGAGCACTTTATGCTTAATATGAATGTTATGTAAGACATGATTTAGAGCAAAAGAAGAAATTTGGATATAAAACGGATGAGCTTGAGCAAAGACTCAGGGCACCATAGCAATTTTAGCAGTTCACACACAGTTGGGTTTGAGCTTGAGCAATGACTCATGGCACCATAGCAGGTTTAGTAGTTCGCACATCATGTCTACTTTCATCATCTTTATTCATAATTTCGCACATCATGTCTACTGAAAAAGAGCAATTATATGGTAGTTCGCACATCATGTCTTCTGAAAAAGAGAAATTATATGGTAGTTTCGCACATCATGACTCATGGCACCATAATTCTCTTCCTATATTTCCCCCACTTTTATTTCAGGCGAGCAGCATTTGAAATAGTATCTCAAAATGCAACATGCTACCAAACTGAGCTTAGAAATCGTTCCTGTTCTGCTGAAACTGTTGATAATGGGTATCCACTATAATTTGGTTCAACTGAGTATCACTTAAGAAGAGTTCACATGATTTCAACAAAAAGTATACAGAGCTGAATAAGAGAGAAAAGCGGAGACATACATTGGGAACTAGCCTCCGGGCTATTCAAGTAGAAAGGATTGCAGTATTGCAAGACAAAGACATACAATATCAGGAACTGCAAAGAGATAATAGGCCTTATATTTCAACTTATTCTGAAAGAATCGTTGCTGACCTGCACTCCAATAAGAATAGCCAAGTGACAGTGAATAGGGAGCAACTTCAAACTGACACAGGCCTTTCAGTTCAGCAAGCTTTTGAGCAGGAATATCAGACAAGTCTGTCAAATAATTGGCCAAAAAAGTAGGCAAGTTAGCAAGAAGTTGTAGGTGACAGTAGTCAGAATGTACCAACATTCAAAATAGATTTACATCTCAGACATCTAAAGAAAACAGCCTCTATCTCACAAAAGGTACGGGTAAGGTTTGCATACATCCTAACCTTTCCAGACCCAACTTGTGGGACTACACTGGGTTGTTGTTGTTGTAGACATCCGACTTAGTAACAGTGATTCCCAGGGTACGACACTTGAATGAGAACATGATGAGAGACAACACAGGAATGAACAGAACCCACAAGTAACAGAAATGGATGATGAATCTTCATAATGAGTAGAGTGATTAACAAAGTTACTTAAGAACAATTTGTTAGATAAAATTTCCTACAACCAATAATTGGTTGAGAGCAATGTGACACAGACAATATCCCCACACAGCCTTGTTTTAGTTTGGAAAGGAGGGAGGCCTATACCGAGCAGAGAGTTGCATGCTGAAGTAATACACCATTTATCAGAAGTCCTATAGAGCCCATGACGTATCTAGAATTGTCTGAATGGGATGTCAGGAACAAAAGCAAAAGTATATGTTCCTTAAAGCAAGATAATACCAACAATGACCTTAAAAAACGGAAGATAAAAACTGCTAAACATAAATATAGACAATAACCCTTATCCCAAGAGCTTTGTGTTTTCGGATCATTTTTCATGAAGCCGGAAATGAACAAGAAAGGTACGATTCAAAAGAACACATCTGATCATTGTCTCAAAAAAAAAAACAATCTGATCAAGAATGGGAAGAGGCAAACATGAGTTTCCTGCATGGTTTATCTAAATCAAGGCATGACATGAACTGTAATCTCACATTGTCTTGCCTAAGCTGGCAATGAACGTGATAAAATTTTAAGCATAATGTTAGCCAACAGCAATCTGGTCAGCGAATAAGATGCCAAATTTTCATCAGAGACAAGATATTTCTGATTCTTTGTTTTATGTTAGTAAATTCTTTAGTTGTTTCTCATTTCTTTTTATCAAAAGGCGTGGAAGAGCACCATTTTGGTGTCCCCATAGCAGATTATGTTTTCCAAGTCACGAATTATGGTTGCCACATATGAGTATGCTCATGCTCATGTTTTGATCGGAGAAATAACAAGAAGCTACTTCCATGCATGAAAGATGTTAAGACTCTCAATCTTAATGGAAGGATGTTAAACTCTCAATCTTCATGGAAAAGAAATTTCAATTCACAGCAGATATCTGGGGGGCATTTGCCTAGACCATCTGTCATAAGTAACATAAAAACAAGATGTTTAACATCATGTACCTGGGGTTTTTACTTTTTCTGAGAAAATCATGTAACGGGTTTTTTCATTTGTTGGGTCCTCAGTGATAGGCTTTACGCGTGGCCTGTCAAATAAATGCCTACAAGAAATGATCTTTTGTCACCAACAGTACCAAAAAAAAGGTTAAAAATGTAAATGAGACCCTCAGCAAAGGAGACATCACTAAATAATTGAAAGTTAAAGTGTTTAGTTGTTCCAGAAGGTGTGTGCTCTAAATCAGAAAATTCAACAATAAAAATAGGTGAGAGGAAAAGTGTGTCCTTTAAACAACATCTAATATTGAGTTTCAGATGTGTCTCTGACAGGTATTTTCACAAGACATTGTACTGTAAATCAAAGGAGAATTCACCAACAGATGGTAGGAATTATAGAGAACATTAAGTGCTCAAACTATGTTTTACTCAGAAGAATCAAGTGTGGTAGGAGGTAATTACTTTTGAAAAAAGAAAACAGGTATATACGGCATGCCTCTAGGTTGAATTTCTCATTAACTTAACAGCAAATGTAAAAAGGAATATCATAAAACCCATACACAATTATCAAGGATGACTGTTCATGTAAGAGATCATACATACACTTTATTTTATCAAGATCAGAACATTGTAACTAGAGTGTCAGCACCCCAAAAAAAAAAAAATCTATTTTGACAAGGAAAACAATGTTTACAGGATTATTTGTAAAGCAAAACCATTCAACTCCTAGCAAGTACTGTGAAGTAGAATAAATTTATATACAGCTCAATAATACACATGATCAAAAACCATGTTTGTTTGCTTGTTTGGGGTAGGGGAAGGGGAAATATGGAGGGGATTACAAAGTAGGAATCGAACCCTCACCAACAAGGTGAAAGGTAGCCAACCAACTGAACTACTAAAATTCCCCTAAAAATGCCATGTTTGTTAAGCTAAATTCAGATGGTAGTTTAGGAATGGTCCTTGTGGAGAAGGAGGGATTATCAGAGATACTGAAGGAAGACTGATTAATGCATATGTGCTTCCCCTTGGATAAGGTACTTGTGATTGGGGCATTGGGCAGAGGCAGCTGCTCTAGTTTGGCATCAATATGTTCTTAGAGAATAACTTTCAGTACGTTGTAGCTGAGAGTGACTCCAAGCTACCAGCTGTGTCAATGGATCAAATTTTATTCCCTGGAGGATTCTAAAGGAGGTGGAGGAGATTAAAAGGGAAAGGAGCACTTTGGCTTCATTGTGGAGCATGTGTTCCAAGAATCCAAGTAAGTAACCAAATAGCAGATAGGCTTGCTAGGTTGAGTCACTCCTCTTCTCAGATGCAGATGTTCAACATTTTCACTGATTTACCATCACAAACTAGAACCCAATGACAGTAGACAGACCATAAAGATCTCCAACAGAAGAAAATCAGAAATTATTTAACCCACCTTGAAACATGGAAATTTTCCTCTAAAAAATGGCTCGGGAACACTGCTCTAAAAGACCTACCCAAGGCTTCACCAATTTGCCAGAAACAAGAGTTCCAGTATTGCCCGAAACAGAGACAACAACATATGGAGCCCCTCCTTCAGAAGGAACACACGGGACTGGGAAATCAATGGCGTGATTGCTCTACTTGCAACCCCTAGCATATTTCAACATTAGTGTGCATCAAGCAGACAAAATCATTTGTGGTACATCTAAAAGGGAGGAATACACAGTCAAGGAAAGTTATGATCTAATGGAATTCTGGAGGATTGGCCTTGGAAGCATGTTGGAGGATCAGGCTACCACTCAAAGTTACATGCTTGACCTGAACAGCTCTCAATAATGCTTGTGTGACACTAGATAATCTTCGCAGAAGGAAAATTACTCTAGTAAACAGACGTTATTATGCAAACAGAATCTTGAGAGTGTTAGCCACCTATTTTTGCACTGCCCCATCACAACTGATATTTAAAACTTTTTCTTCTCTCTATATGCCCTTTCCTGGAGTATGCCCAGGTCAATCAAGGAGTCAAACATCAGCTGGATCTCTTGGAGAGTTGACAAAGCCATCAAGGAAGTCTAGGGGATATCCCAGCAATCATCTTTTTGGTTATTGGAGCTAAATGGTCACACTTTTTGTAATGTGGCATCTTCCTAATACCATTTCAATAATAATCTTTAACCTTACCAAAAAAAGCTTAATTTTTGAAGATAAATAAACTGTTGGGTATGTTTTGTGGTAGTTATTGTTCCTTTTCTTCAAATTGCTTTATCCTGGTTTATATAGTAGTTTGTCATGGCTTCTAACTTACTTTTAATATTTTTTTTAGCCGACTACTTTGTTTTGCTCGTCTTTGAGCATAAAACTTGGTATGTTGTTGTTGTTGAAGAAAATGCTCAATTTAATATTTGATTTCAATGTCTATTACTGGTTACGCGAGCTGTACTACAGCAATAAAGCAAATTAATGTAATTATAGAGGTAAGGAAGAAGTACCCGTCGAGTATTTTCATGGCAGCCTTACAATGTTCTCGTGGAATTCGAAGCGCCCATAATTTCAAGTGCATATCAAACTTGCTCTCGTCCAGTTCCACCATTTTTACAGGATTGAGAAAGCTCAAGTGCTAAACTTCAATTAATGGAAGATTTCAAATTGCACAGTGGGTTTAGGGTTTTTCTCTCAATTTGGGAAGAAGAAAAAAAAGAAGTCCCTTTATTTTAAGTTTAGACTTAAAATGATCCTTTATAAATTGAACGGAACATTAATGGTCTCTTAAGTTTGGAAAAAATAGCATATTTAGTACACCCAACCATAAACCGTGATGTTTTTGACGGCGTCCGCTAACGGGACGAGTCGGGTTGTACGAAGCGGGTTGAAATTAAAAATTAAATTGACTGTACGTGGGATAGAGTGAGTTACAGATCTATGTGAGTTTAAAGAAGTTTTTTTTTTCTAAAATTTTATTTTTACCTAAAAATTAAAACAAAAGCAAATAGATGCATGTTTAGAAATGCATTTATGAGTTTATATAAGCGTATTTGCCTCGCAACTATATTGCTCCACATAATTTGTATTATATTGAACAAAATCGTCTTGTATTTTTGCGATGCTATCTTTAGCAAAATTAAAAGGAGCAGCACCTATTGTGCTCCATTTTTTATTCAAAAATTTTCTTGTTAAAAATATTTGATATGAAATTATGACAAATAGCTAGGAACCTCGTGAATTCATCGTTGTTGAATATTATGAATTTGGGTAGCAAAATCTTCAACTAAAGTGCACATTTTAAGACATATTTTTTTACGATATTATAATCACATTACGATGTTCCTTTAAAAAAGGATTGATCTCATACTTGTCCATTGTAGAGGATTTATTCACAAAGTAATTTTTTTATTAAAAAAAATCTACTCAAAATTGATAAGTCTTTCCATACGGATAAGGGCAAAAAATATTCCTAACTTATTAAATTTGGCTAAAAATAATACCTTCTTTTAATTATTGGATCAAAATATCCTATCAAGGTTATTATTTGACTGTAAAGTATTTCTAAACTAATTAAAGTCGCATAGCATTGATTCAAATTTAATATAATGTGAATTAAATTATCCTATACATACGTTAAAAGAAAATATATTATCCATTATATTTCACGCCCACAATTCGATACAAATATCTAAATCAAACTCTTTATATTTAATGATATTGTGTAGTCAAGAATTTGGGGGTTGGGGGTTGGGGGGTGGGGGGTGGGGGGGGGGAGTGTCTTTGGTTTAATATTGTATGTCTTCACTTTTTTTCTCTATATTATAAATATAAAATCAATACATAAAAGCCACTAAGAACATTATAATGTTTTCAAAACGTTCTTTTCTCTCTATTTTATTTTATTTTTCAAAAATATAGAGTTCAAATTCTTATACATATATTATTAAAATTGAATCAATCATACAATACCGCAGTGGTTTTTGTAAAGTCTCACCTAGTCAATAAAAAAAAATTATTGAGGAAACTTTTGGTCTAATAGGTGAAAGAAGAGTATTTTTTAACTTCGAACGTATTGAAAGAAATAGGGTGAATCTATAATATACAAAATGATCATTGCGATCCAAATTATTATGATCTCCCAAATCCTAACATCATAATGCATTTAATTTTAAGACATAATAAACATGAAAAGATATTAATAACTCAACTCAACACATAAAATATTTATTTGACACAATTTCATAAGTTTTACCACAATATTGAGAAAAGAGTACAAACAACTTGCCATGATACAACAATTAATTAAACACATCAAAAAACAATACAAAAAAAAAGTACAAGAAATTCAAAAACGTACCATAATAAATCGCATACATAGGTACAAATACCATAAACATTTAAACTTTAAACCCTCTCCTTAATAACAAGGAAAGAAATAACCAAACCGAAAAATCCAGCCACCATTGAAGGCAATGAAGTGATTATGGCACTGGAGGATTGCGATGGAGCCGAGGCAGGGGCAGGGGCAGGGGCATGGTGGTGGCCCTCATGAGCTACAACAACAGATACCATGAATACAACACAAGCAACGAAGTTGAATGCAACACTTGAAACTTTGAAAGCCATTATTTTTTCGTATGTTGCGTTCAACTTGTTTGGTTGAGAGTAAGATTTTTTTTTTAGGATTAAAATGGATTGTGTTGGGAGTTCTTTGCAAATACTATACTTATATATACTATATGTTTTTAAGGTGGTACGACTTTTCATAATTGACAAATTCGTATTATCATTCTTTTTTATTTTTTTCCATGTATTTATTTTTTGTATGTGGAAATAAAGCAAGTAGCTGGATGGTGGGAGATCATTTCAACAATTTCTAGTAAGAATTGGTTTTTAATTAATACAAGTACATGATCATTTGTACAATGACACCAATAAGTTCTCAATATTTAACTATTTTTTTATATATAAAAAAACTCATTGAGTTGTAAGGATTAGACAAAGTCCAAATTAAATGACTCGGCTTTGATAATTAGTTTAATGGTCAATGAAATGAATTGAGAATTATTAAGTTAGTAAAAATAAAAATAAGCTAGGTGATTTTTTTCATCTATCATGTCTTTGATAAACATACTTACCTAATATTTATTGATTGAATATGATAGGTGTCTTGTAAATTATTGATACATCTATGGTAATGGTAAGGAATAAGGATGAACTTTTATGGCTTTATACGTATAAAATCTCTTAAAAATTTATCAATAAATTTCATTCAGACACTTGAACAATAACTTGTTTCAATTAACCATATGATAAAATGTTTTTATTAGACACTTTTAATTCAAATTTCTTTTTACAAGTAATCTCAAGTATCTATTACTCCAAGTAACTAAGTTAACCACAATAAATACATTATCTTGACAATTGAGATAATCTTAAAGTTTTATGGTTTATTAAGACTAATACGTATTTTTTTTTAAATGATTAACTTATTTATGTGTACTTCAAAATTCACACACCAGAATTTCATAATTTGAACTAAAAGCGCCTAATAAAAATATTTTAAATGCTCAACTAAAATAAATCATAATTTTAAATATTTAAATGAAATTTACTAACAAATTCGACGGATAAGATTTTGTTATTTTATTTTTGGGGTCAAGAAAGAGTCCATACACATTTGTTTTTTCATGAAAGTCAGACGTGTTGGAAGACGTGCCTATAACAATGACAACATGAATTGATGATTGGGGTGGCATAGTCAAATCGGCTCTCTTTCTGATTAGTTAATTTTATGTTGGACATCCATTAACTAACAAATTATTGTCTTCTTTATAAAATTGAAAATATTTTTTCTCAAAAAACAAGTTGCTTTAAATGAGGAAAATGATTTTTCTAATAGATGTAAAAAAAAAGGTTTCACGTCGTTTATGTTTTCTTTACCTCGAAACACTTCATCTTCACTTTGATCCTATTGGACCTCCCATAGTCAGTTGCGGATAGGGGCGAAGCTACTATATCGGAAGGGGGTTCGGACAAACCCACTGGCTTTTCCGTAAATCATATATTCCTATAAAAAAATATCAAATACAAAGTACAGATAAATTTCCTGCGAACCCACAACTATAATGAGACGGGCGGCCCTGTAGCCTACACGAACCCAGTAAGTTCTTCAGCATGCACGTCGTGGGTTCGAAACTCACTCTCGGCAAATAAAACATCGACTTTTTTGTCTTATAAAAAAATAGAAAATGGGCAAATGATAAATACTCACTCTCGACACTATGTTTTTGGATTTCAGATAAAAACATTGAATTTCTTTTATTAAAAAAAAACAGAAAGTCAGTAAATGATAATTTATATTAATTTTTGTTAATAGAAAAAACAAAAAATGGCTATATGATTAAAAAAAACAGAAAAATAATGTTTGTGTCATACTATATAACAATATCTAACTATTGATTTCTACTCATACATTCAAAAAAATTTAACCCAAATATATTTTCATTGATTACTACATATTCAAAAAACTTTAACCCAAATTTATTTTCAAAAGTCAGGGTTCTAACTTTTATTGTTGATCTGATTGTTATCATCCAACCTCTACCCTCCAATATGTACTATGTACTCTCGCCTCTCCTTTTTTATTTTTTTCTTATTTGTTTGCTTTTACACTATAGAATTTTCTATTCAAAAATTAATTTTTAATCTTTGATCCTAGGGTTATCTCACATATTGATAATTGATTATATTGAAATAACTATTGTTTGCTTTTCGAAGTTTTAACTTTTGAAGGCAATAATGGTTCAAGGTTATAGTGAAACTAGTAAAATGTATGTTTTAGGTGTCTAAATATTAATGGCGAATTTAATAATTTTAATCTCACTTAGGACAATATTAAAAATTATAACAAAAATGTTTGATATTTATATTTTAAAAATTATTCATCTTTTGTTAACAATATTTTAGAACTTTAAATTAAATTACTCAAATCTTCATATTATTAAATTAAGTTTTTACAATAACAATATTTAAGGTAGTGTTTTCAAACATGACTAAGATCTCATTAACATAATTTGTGTATTGTGAGTTTTAAGATCGTTATCCTTTTTAAAATTTAGAACGTAAGTACTCCTTAATCCTTAACCAAGAGGTCTCGGGTTCGAGTCCCCTTGGGTACAGAGTCGCCTTTGTTAGAGAGCGTTCTACCCCCAATGTGAGACTTTTCGGGCGTGAATCCGAATTTAGTCGGGCTCCAATATGAGTACCAGACACTGAATGGGAAACCAAAAAAAGAACCCACAGGCCTAGAATCCTGGATCCGCCTCTGGTTACCGATACAATTTAAAGATAACAAATTCATATGAACTCAGTACTTTCAATACAGAAAATAATTGTGTAAAAAATCATGAAAAGTCACCATAAATAATAAATATATTACCCAAAAAAAAAAACTCTTTAAGAATGGGCATGAATACATATCTTTAATATGTAGTAACTCATATCTTTTTCAATGCTCAAAATCTCTAAGATTGAACTCATAAAGAAAAAATCTCTGAATTGTTTTTATCTATTATATTTGTATAGAATATATATAAATACGTTTAGAATAATGTTTTCATTATTAACAAATTGGATTTAGGGACAAACATATTTTGTAGTTAAATATC